CTTAACAATCCTATATAGTTCTTTCAATTACTTATGAATTACACATGCATATTTTGAAGGTTAGATTTTCCTAATATATGCCTACTTGGACCCCCAACATAAAGTGTATATCAAACATGCAACCCATCTGTGGTATTCCAATCAAATCTAAACATGCATGACTCATTAAGCTTTATGAAACCTTTTGAAAAACCATATAACCCTTAAGACGTGGTATTCGTCCTAAGTGAACTCGCACATATTAATCACAAGAAGCCTTCATCAATTTCAAGGACCGACCTCCAATCAAAATTGCATCAAATTACTTTTCTAAACATCCTAATGCTAGCTAAGCATTAAGACAATTAGATAGTTTAAACCGGTGATTAATAATTCAAACATGCATGCATAATATCATAAGCAAATTGAAAAGAAACTACATATTCTTGCTAAGGCTCATGACCTCGCCCTAGCAAACGGAAATTAGTTACTAACAATCATAAACAAAATATTATTAAAAACAAGGATAGAAAACACCTTGAAAATAAACTTCAAAGCTCTCTAAAGTGTGCATGCGTTTTCTCCTCTCCCCCTCTAAACCCTAATGGCTAGAAAGCCTTATTTATACTACTAGAAAATAAAACCCTACCTAGAAAAGTTGTTAGAATAATACTTGAAAACCAAATAAATTAAAATAAATTAGGAAACATAATCCTAAATTGACTAGTAAAATTTGCCTAAAATCTGCATAATCTGAAAACAGCCACGTTTCTAGATCTTCAGGGCTCCAAAACAGGCCCAAAACGGCTAGAATTAAAGCTTGAGATGTCCTGAACATAATTGCAAAAGGCCTCAAACCCGAAAGACATCATCTTGGACGCCAAAAAGCCCAAAGAATCCCAAAACGTCAGTTTGACAGCACCATGCGCTGCTCCTTTATTTCATCGCCATAAATAAACCGGTTGGTAGAAAATTATGAAACTTTGATACGATTAAGTCAACAGACTCACGAACATCTTCTAATTGGAATCACTCCAAAATTCATCCGTTTGACTACTTTTTACTCTATAGGAAGTCAAATGTCCTACATTAAGAATATAAATAAAAGTATCAAACTTTCACAAAATAAACAATAAATTAATACTAAGAATAGGATAAAACATAGATTAAAATATCAACTCATCACGTTGATCTGGGCTAGGAGGAGAAACTTGAATTATGTGGTTGTGGAGCGCGACTCAAAGCTAATCATTGATTTGGTCCGTGGGGCTTGTGGTGTGGCTTCAAACTTAAGATCCATCATTGAAGACCAGGTGGTGCGCTTCATAGAAACATATTTCTATGATATCAAATGGAGACATATTTTTAGGGAAGCAAATTTTGTTGCAAATGCCATAGCCTCTATTGGGCTTAAGAGAAAGGAGCTTTGTATTTGGGATGCTTGTCTCCCAATGGAAGCAAATATGGCTTTTCTTTTCAACTGAAATGACACTGGTTGTGTAAGGGATTTTTCTCTTTGATGTATTCCTTTTGCTATAAAAAGAAAAAAAAAAAGAGACTTACAAAAAAATTTAGCTCTCTAATCTACAATCGTGTGATTCATCAGCATCAAAAATAAAATTCAGAATATATGGTGTGAAATACAACCTTGAAATTTGTTCGGACGCAGGACCCCTCGTGGTGGTTGTTCCTCGCGTCAAATTCCCCCAAAAACCCCAATATTGAAATATTTCGGCACTCTTCCCACGCACTGTCACCCGCACACACGACACACCATTGCTTCCTCTGCTCTCTTCCTCCTCCTTCTCCAAGCTTTGTACTCTCCGACGATCCGAACACCCGATTCAATCCGCCCAACATGTCTCCAATATGACCCGGACCCGGGCCCCCGTCCCAGACACCAACCGCTCCAAAGTCACTGGCGGAGGCGGCGGCAACAGCGCCATGAGAGTTATAGTCCCTCTCAAGGGCGTCGTCCAAGGCAGGGGAGGTCTGCTTTTGGGCTCGGTCATACCGTGCGCCTTGTTTTATTTCCTCCAGCTCTATCTGAGACAACACCACTCGAACCCCAACCCCCCAACCCCAACCTGCCTACGCCTTCGCCGGAATCCGAGTCCGAGCATGCCGGACAGCCGGTGGAACTTCCCGTTCTGCCCCGGAGTGTCTCCCGGACCCTCCTCGCCCCGAGGTGCGCCGGGGGGCCAGTTTACGTATCAGGTCTGGCCAATTCAGTTCTGAAAGGTGGCCAGTCGCCGTACGACGTTGGGTTGAGGAAGGTGGCGGAAGATCCGTATGACGAGTTGAGTAACCCGAATGGGGTTATTCAATTGGGTTTGGATGAAAACAAGGTGGGTCGAGCTTGCTTTGGCTTGTATTTCTTCAAGTCTTTAGCTTTTTACAATTTTCAATTTTTTTTGTTTAAAAAAATTAAAATTTAAAAATTGGGTCTTGTTGAATTTTGGATTGTGCAGTTATCGTTGGATTTGGTTGGAGATTGGTTCCTGGAGAATGCAAAGGAAGCAATTCTGGGTGGCGGCGAGCTCGGAATTTGTGGGATTGCTTGTTACCAGCCTCTTGATGGATTGATGGAGTTAAAAGTGGTAAGTTTCATAGTACTCATATTCCAAGATTGTAATTAAAAGTATGTAAATGCCAATTGATATTAGAAGTTGTGTCCTTTGATGTAATTGTTGTATGTCAAAATTCGAATGTATTAGTTTGGTTGGTTAACGTGGGAACCTGATTTGAATTTTAACTTTGTATTTTCTGTATCGATTGTATGATTAGTTTGGTCAATATATGAAAATTGAGATTTGGCTCTGGTTTTCTGTTTGAATAACAATTGAGATGTCTGAAAACTTTTCAAAAAGTATGTCCAAGTTATGAGTCAAAATGGTTGAGTTTTTTTATGCAATATGTACCTAATGATCGAAAGTTTTGTCCGAATCCAGGTGGGATTCAATAATTTTGGGTATATCAAAATAGCAAAGTCACTTGAGACAATCGGTGTTAAGTTTCTAATTGAACATGGTTTCAATGTTTCTCCGAATGATTTATTGCCTGTAGAATACAATTAATTACTTGCGAACTTCATAGTTGATAATTTGCACAAATTGGCTAGAAAATGCTATATCTTACTAGAAAACTAGAACTAGTAGTGGTTGGTCAAATGTGAGTCCGTTTACTTATAACAGTTATAAGCACTCCATGCAGGTTGATTTTTAGGATGCATGTGCTTTTACATTATATACTTCATATGAACAGTGGCAGTCAGTTTTTTGTGCACTCTCTAATTTTCCAGACCTGTAGGCTGTGGCAGGATTCATGTCTCAAGTCATGGGGAAGTCAGTTTTCTTCGACCCCTCCCAAATAGTATTGACAGCTGGTGCAACACCTGCAATTGAGATACTAAGTTTCTGCCTAGCAGACAGCGGAAATGCATTTCTTGTTCCGGCGCCATATTACCCTGGGTAATAACTATCAACTAATGTCAACATAGAAAGTTTCTGTAGGTAAGTATCTCTGCTCTCTGGCTCTGAAGTCCTGACTTTTTGAATATGATATGCAGTTTGGACAGAGATGTAAAGTGGCGAACTGGAGGAGAGATTATACCTGTTCCATGCCGTAGTGCTGACAAATTCAACTTGTGCGTGACTGCTCTTGAACGTGCATTCAACCAGGCAAAGAAACGCGGTGTAAAGGTTCGTGGGATTATAATTTCAAATCCTTCAAATCCCGTTGGCAGTTTATATAGTTGTGAATCACTTTACAACCTTCTAGACTTTGCCCGAGAGAAAAACATACATATAATCTCAAATGAAATATTTTCTGGATCCATGCATGGTAGTGAAGAGTTTGTAAGCATGGCAGAAATTGTTGAATCGGAAGATATCGACCAGAACAGAGTTCATATAGTATATGGTCTATCGAAAGACCTTTCTCTTCCAGGTTTTAGGGCCAGCGCTATCTACTCCTTTAACAAGGATGTTCTGGCTGCTGCTAAAAAGTTGACAAGGTTCTCGTCCATTTCCTCCCCATCCCAACAGTTGCTCATCTCTATGCTTTCAGACACCAAATTCATCCGGAAGTTCATTGATACTAGTAGAGAAAGGCTTCGTGGAATGTACCTTAAATTTGTGACAGGTTTGAAGCAATTGGGCATTGAGTGCACCAAGAGCAATGGGGGTTTCAGCTGCTGGGCTGACATGAGCGGGTTAATCCGCTTTTACAGCGAGAAAGGGGAGCTTGAGCTCTGGGATAGATTGTTGAATGTAGCTAAACTAGATGTAACACCCGGATCATCATGTCATTGTATTGAACCCGGATGGTTTCGGTTTTGTTTTACAACGTTGACTGTAAAAGATATTCCTGTTGTTATGGAACGAGTTTGGAAATTTTCCGAAACCAGTAAATCACACTGTTGAAGTATTGTTCATTCATTCTCCGGGTTCAGCTTGCACAGAATTTTTTTTTCTTAAGAAATACCACTTGCTGTAGACACTCTTGTTTTAGGTCAGTGCACCTGATCCAAGAACTAAGCACAATTGCTTTCTCTTGTGGTTAAAAGGGAGAAATTTTTAACCGAACTGGCCACACCGTTTGTTGGTGCTACTAATTTGATAGTCGAAATCTCATGCACCTAGTGTAAAGTAGTGAAATGATTGCCAGACACCATTTTTCTTATACACATTCAGTTTGTTTCTGTCCCCAATTCTCCGTGATTTGTTCAATTCAAAGGTTAACATCAAACAAGGTACACATGGACAGAAAACGGGTGCGAAAATCAATTTCTACATGGTATTAAAAGAAAAATACGTCTGCTGTAACATAAGTAGATACTGTGTTTTGGTGTGATAGTCACCACGAAAAATTACTCGCAATTAATTCTTGTTGAAGATTTTCTCTTGGCAGTGACAATATGCAGAACTCTCTCTCTCTCTCTCTCTCTCTCTCTCTCTCTCTCTCTCTCTCTCTCCATTTTTTGGTCGAAATCTCTCTCATCTCTCCATTTGTGCACAAGAAACCAGAACAAAATGTTACTACATTTCTTATTAAGTATTAATTTATCCCTCAATGACATACAATAAATGAATGTTCTTATTTGCAGGATTGAAAAATGTATGAAAACAATTGATTTTGGTAAACCCCAAATGAATACAATGAATTGTATCTATTTTTCCTATATTCAAAAACCCTCCTACTCTCCCCAACTAATCCAACCATTTCAGGTAACTATCTTTCTGACCTCTGCTCCGGCGAAGATGCATCATTGATCCGATGCTGAGGCAAGAGCATAATTTATCGATTTACTTTGACAAGCTAAGCCTCCAATCCGTTTCTGATGGATTCAAGAACCTGTATAACCTCAGCCATGCTTGGTCTTTTCGAAGGGAGCTCGGATGTACAAATCAACCCTAATTTCATCATCTGGATCAGTTCATTCTCTACAAAATCCCTTAAGCTTCTGTCAAAGCAATCTGATGCAAAGCCAGTCTCCAATAATCCCCTAACATATTCACACAAAACCACCACCTCATTTGCAGTTGGACTCTCTACCGGTTTCCTCCCTGTGACCAGTTCCAAAAGAACCACTCCAAAGCTATAGACATCACATTTCTCACTTAGTCTCAGACTCTGAGCCAGCTCTGGTGCAACATACCCAACAACATTGTGGAATTTGGTTAAACCGTAGTTATCCAACATGGGAAGCAATTTACCTAACCCATAATCAGACAACTTTGGCTCATATTTCTCATCTAGTAGTATGTTGGTGGATTTAATGTTGAGATGGAGAATAGGAGGTCTACAGTCATGGTGAAGGTAGGCAAGCGCCTTAGCCGTTCCCAAAGCAATCTTAAATCGCCTACACCAATACAGTTCACTATTGCCTCTGCTAGTGCTTGGTCCCGGATAATGAAGACCGTGTAGATTGTCATACAAATTCCCATACGGGACAAATTCTGATAGCATCAACTGCATTGTCGACGACCAATAGTAACCTTGAAATGCTACTAAATTGGGATGCTGAAGGTTGCCCAGTCGTCCAATTTCTTGCTCAAATTCATCTTGATTTCTGATACTTCCCAGAGTCTCGAGCTTCTTTACTGCAATTGAGATGCCACCTTCAAAATTTGTTCTGTAGACTGTACCAATTGATCCACCACCTATTATACATTCTTTGTCAAGCAAAGCTTTTGTGCCGGACTCCCAGTCTTCATACCTTGAGGGCAAACTTTGGCTGAAGAGAACCAGCTTCCCGATTATAACATTTGAATCAGTGGAGCCAAGTGGTGTGCTCTCGACAACCAATGTCACATCGGCTTGCTTCTTTCTGTGGGCTTTGACGTTCATAATGCATACCAAACATACTCCACTAAGAATCACTGCAGCGGCAACAATTGCAAAGATGGCAGGCACACGAAGAGCCTTGGGTTTTCTCAAAGTGGGAGTGATAGTACCATTACCAGTTGCTGAGCAAGGCGTGTCCAATGGAGCACCACAGAGGAAGGGGTTATTTATAAATGCATAGGAGCCGTAACCTTGAATAGCTGCAGGAATGGTGCCTGAGAGTTTATTGGAGGAGAGATTAAAATAAGTCAACTTTGCTAGGTTTCCAAGGGAAGAAGGAATTGACCCCAAAAGTGAATTTTGTGAAAGATCCAGATATTGTAAGCTGGACAGATTTCCTACATCTGGTGGGATGCTTCCATTGAGCTGGTTTTTATGGAGGTCAAGGATTTCAAGGTTAGTCATGTTGTAAAGACCTTGAGGAATTTCTCCCTCCAACGAGTTACCAGAAACATCCCTGTAGAAACAATAAACATAAGATATTTTCGCTTAGATATAAAGACATTGCACGTAAATTTAAACAAATTTCATAATGTATTTGGACTCACAGCTCACGCAGAAACATGCAATTGCTTATATCATGGGGTATTTCACCAACAAGGTTGAGATTGTGCAAATCCAAGACCTGAAGCAGCTGAATGCTTGCAAGCTTTTCTGGAATAGTTCCGCTTATTGAATTATTACACAATTGGATCACGACAAGCCTAACCAGATTCCCGAGCACATCTGGGATGCTCCCATCCAGCTCATTGTACCCCAACTCCAAAACCTTGAGACTTCTACAGTTTGTAATACTTGGAGGAACCTCTCCGTCCAACACATTCCATGAAGCATCAAAAGACTCCATTCTCTCACTACAAGTTGTAATATCAGGAACCTTCCCGTTAAACTCATTATGCGATACATTGAAATAAGTAAGATTGCTCAATCCAAGAACCCCAAATGGTGCCGAACCAGTAAACAAATTGCTACTGAGATCCAGTAGTTTCAAGCTGTGGCAAGCTGAAAGCTGCTGCACAACGCTCCCTGACATCGCATTGCTTCTTAGTGACAAATAATTTAACCTGGGAATATTGCAAATTCGCGAAGGTATGCCACCGCTGAGATTGTTGAAAGAGAAATCAAACCCTTCAAGATTCGAGCAATTCGCCAACGATTCCGGCATTGAACCCAAAAGAGCGTTATGAGACAAAGAAACGAACTTGGTTTTGTAACAGTACTTAAACAAAGCCGATGGAATCTCCCCAGTAAAACCATTCCTTGACAAGTCAAGAAGCCTAATGCTAGGCAAGTCACCTATAAACTCTGGAATCGACCCAGATAACGCATTTGAACTAAAATTGATCTTATACAGTGTTCGAATCTCGGCATACTCATTCGGTATACTTCCCGAAAATCTGTTCCCAAACAATGTCAAAACCCTCAGGTATTTCAACCCGGACAAAGCCGGAGACAACACTCCACCAATGCTAGTGTTCAACAAAACTATCTTATCTACAAACCCAGCAGAGTTACAGAACACACCACCATAATCTTTGCAAGGATTCCCAGTAAAAACCCATGAGCCTAAACGATTGTACGGATCATTTGTTACATTCCCTTTGAATTGAAGTAAAATCTCCTTCTCAGTTACTGAAGTAACATCAATTATTGCCAAAAATAAAGCAACAACAAAGCACAAAAGGGCATGAGAAAGGCGAAAAGTATGAATCTTTCTCATGCTACTTACAAATCTATACAGTAAATGTGTGCGGTAAAAGAAGGGGTCTACCCGTTTGGCATTATGGTAATTGGATCTGAAGCAGATAAGATCTGACTGCTACTTTGCCTCCATTGTTGCACTTTCTTTCGAGTATCCGAAACGCCCCATCACGATCATGGTAAAGAAGAAAAAAATTTCACTTCTGGGTTTTGCTGGAATTGCAGAAATCTCTGAGAATTCCACCACATTTGCACAAAAAGATGAAATTTTGGCTTCTGGGTTTGTCTCAGTGGATGCTCAGGATTCAGGAACAACCAAAGATCCAAGATTTATGAAGCGTTTTGGCTTCTGGAACGAACCAAAGCACCAAAATTTTAGTTTTTTGGCTTGAAACAATGGAGGAGAAACAGAGAAAAGTAATGGGAGGTAGGGAGTTACGGGGTTAACTGTGAAAGGGAAAAGAAAATGGAGCAAAATGGTGTGTGTATGTGTGAGCTGTGGAGGGTTTGGCTTGGTTGGAAAGGAAGCAGGTGAGAGAGTGGGAGTCAAAATTTAATGTAACTGCTTATAATAGTCTGGAAATTCAGCAGTTTTTTTGCCTCCACTTAAACTGATGCTGAACCACGTGCATGCCCTCTCTCTCTCCCCTTTCTTTCTCTCTCTAACCTCTGTGTAGTTTGTAATGTCTGAACAATGATAATGAGGGAGGAGAGAGAGAGAGAGAGAGAGAGAGAGAGAGAGAGAGAGATGAGTGTGTGTTTCTCTCTCCAGGACCGAGTTGGGTCTGCATCTCTTTCACAGCATTCATTCTTCCCCACCAACCAAGCTACCAATTCCAGTCACTTCCATAATTACTATCCAAAGAAAACTAAAGAAAAAAAGAAGAGTGAAGAAAAAGGAAGAAGAAGAAGAGGATGTCTCGAATTTGTCTCTACTATTGGTTGACAAGTAAACAAACTCTCTCTCTCTCTCTCCTGCTTTTGCATTGAACCGTTTTAAGTAAAGACTTTGAGTCTTTGACAAAGGAATATGATCATATTCGAATTCTGATGATCACTTTAGAGATTTTGCTAACCTGTTATTTTGCAGTTATAAATCATTTTAAAATAATCGTACTATATGCGATAAACAAACATTATAAAGTAGTGATTTCTACTATCTTCACAAAGAAGATCCTTGTTCTTTGACAAGACATTGGTTTTGTTTCTGTTTCTTTTATTAATTGTTTCAAATATCATTAGTTAATTAATTACTTAATTAAGCATATTGTTCTCTCTCTATAATAATAATAAAAGGGAATATCGAGGAGAAGTCGTCTTTAACGTTGCATTTGCGCATTTTCCAGCTGGAAATGACAATCATCTGCATTAACTATGATGTCAAGTTTCTCCAACTCCTCATACTTGAGAACGACACGTGGCCAACTGGGTCAATTTCTCTGCTTTCTTTCCCCTTACTGTGAGAGTACATTTTTACATCTTTGTTTTTTTCCATTCAAACCTTGTCTCTTTGCATTTGACTAGGATAGGAAGAATCTTCTCACCAAACTTTGCAGACCCAACTCAAATTTGCTTTTAAAAGAAAATTGAAGAAGAAAAATATGTTCTTTTTATTATATATTTTTATATAATATATAACCTACTTTAAATTCAGAGTAATTCTTACTTTATTATTTTCAAATATCGTTATATTAGCTTAAAAAAATATCATGAATTCGCACTGTGCTACTCTTGAGTGTCAAAAGGATCGTTAAAGCTTAAATGCGGCGCTTATTTGATGATAAATAATTGTGCAGAAATATGACGCTGGGCACCCCAAAACAATTAAAGAAATTAATTATTTTTGGTAAAATAAAAAAAAAAATTGTTAAAAGAAATAAGACGCTAGGATGCGGGCTCTCAATCATTCATGGAACATAAGTATAGGAAAATCCCAGCAAAATTTTAATTTCAATTTTTTGCCGGGAATTGGATTTTTGTCCACGTGGCAACATATGTTACTCTTTAAGTTTTTGAAATTTTAGTTTGACATAACTTATTTCAAAATCTCGGCTCGAACCATCTTGTACACCTTGCGAGGCTAATAGAAGCCAGAATTTGGGAGAAAAACATAAATTTACGTAGGAAAGCGAGGCCAAAAAACTAAGGTAGTACAAATGCAAATTTCATGATACTTGAGAGTAGTAATGTGAGAAATATTGTTAGCTCGTTTTGAATTTTTTTTTTTTTAAATCGATGAAAGCTTTATTGGTGGAAATGATTTTGGAATCAGATCATTAGTAAAAATGCAAGCAAATCTCAGATAAGCACTTAACTCAAAAACAATTCTGTGAAAATGATTTTAGTCATTTTAAAAGCACTTTTAAACGAGTCATTAATAAGTGTATAGAGGGAGACTCCAACTTGGAGGTGTACAGTAGAGTACATTTTTTAATTTTTAGTACAATATACATTCGCTTGAGCTAATTTGACTGCACCAAAATATGCGAAATACACACTGATATTACATCTGAAGTCCTAAGTTCAACTCTCTCAGTCTCCACTATAGCTTGTATAAAACAAAGTATACATAATAAAGAATGCAACATTTGGCAATTCCGTTGGTGGTCCTAATACTTTTACGAGTTTTTTTTATTTTCTGTTCTTTTTGCCCACTTAATTCCCTTCTCTATCTGCATCAAAGGACCCTTGAGCAAGAAGAAAAAAATGAAAATAAATAACCAGTGGTTGCACCACACATTATTGAATTATTTGGTTGGTTAGCCTGGCAAGCACTGCATAGGATGGCTTGGTAGTTGTAAGTTTCACCTTATTATCTCTCTGCACGAATTTGCTATACACATTTGTTGTGGCATTGCATGGAATCTTCTTCTTGCCCCTGAATTCAGATGTTTTTTTTTTCATACAATTACTTATTTTATTTGGCACTTGGAACTTTTTTATATGTTTTGTTTTGTAGGATGGTAATGGGACAATAACTTGGAACAAATTCTGTGTTCTGAACAATACACAAGAGTCTTTGGTTCAATAAAATGTGCACCAATTTATATGAATCGATATGTTAGGTGCTAATGATATGTTAATTTTTCAATTTAGTGATGTAACAAGTTAATAGCATTGCACAACGTTTGACAAATTTTGGGGTCTTCGGACTTCTTAACGAGTTGCTTTAGTTTGAAGAACTTTTTTACTTTTAGGAATGTAATATATGCAGATCAAACACCACAATTATCTTTCTTTTTTTTTTTTTTGTCTCTCAAAAAGCTCTGCCTCTCTCGGCCAACCCTAAAAATTACTTGTCAACTGCCGACCCTTCCTTTGCTAGGGTCGGTGGCAACCAAATCCTTCTAATTCTCAGCCATCTTCTCTCTTTCCCCAACCTTTCCCTCCTTTTCTTTACCTTGCTATGTTTATTTTCTGGGTTGTATTTGGTTTGAGCTTCTGTCAGTGTTCCCTGAGCTTTGTCTCAATTTACCCTGAGCTTGTCTCAGATCTGCCACTTTCCCTTGCAAATATCTTTCCTCACCGCATTTCCTTTAACATCTACCTTTGCTACTCAACTCTTTGGATGTTTCATTCATGGATCTTCTTTGGCGGCTCTCTTTGGTGGTTAGTAGCTTTTAAAGTGTTTTTTGCACTATTTGGTAGGATTCCCATTGGACTTGCACTCCATATACTTTGTATTTGATTTACTTAGGCGAAGACCTTTAGCTTCTAACACTCCCCCCCCCCCCCCCAAAGGTTAAGCTTCACATTTACTCCCTCTCACAATCCAATACTAAAAAAAAGTATGACTTAAAGTTAAGTCTTGGTGTAACCCTATATTTTGTCTTTGATCTACTTAGGCGAAGACCTTTAGCTTCTAACACTTCCCCCAAAAGGTTAAGCTTCACATTTACTCCATCTTGCATTCCATTACTAAAACAAAACAAAAAAAAGGCAAGACTTAAAGCTAAGCCTTGGTGTAACCTTATGTTTATGGAAAAGCTTTCAGTTTGTTCTTCAAGCATTCTTATTGCAGTCGTTGCTCCATCATACATATCCCTTATTTCTTGGATATATACTACTCGTAGTCCTTTCTTCTCTAGAATCCTCCAAATAATTTCTCTTGCAACCTTATCATACGATTTTCCAAATCTATAAAGATCATGTGCAAATCCTTTTTCATATCTCTATATCATTCCATTGATCTTCGTAAGTGATAGACTGCCTCCATTGTCAAGTGCCTTGGCATGAACTTGAATTGATTCTGAGACTTGTGTCTCTTGCCTCAATCCATGCTCAATTACCCTCTCCCAGAGCTTCATTGTTAGCTCATTAACTTAATGCTCCTATAATCATGCAACTTTGTATGTCGCCCTTATTTTTGTAGATAGGCACCAAAGTGCTTTCTTGCCACTTAGGGCATCTTCTTTGTTTTCAAAATCTTATTGAAAAGCTTTGTAAGCCATGCTATACCCATCTCTCCCAAGAACTTCCATGCTTCAATCATCATATTGTTTGCTTTTCTTTGCTTCATCTTTATCAAAGCTACGACCACTTCCTCTTTCCTCATTCATCAGTAAAAAGAGTAATTTCTACACTCTTCTGATAACTTAAACCACCCAAAGAAGTGCATTCATTGAAGAAATTATGAAAATAAGCTCTCCATTTGTCTTTAACCGTGTTCTCCTTGGCTAGAACCTTTCCATTCTCATTCTTGATACACCTTACTTCGATTAAGTCTCTTGTCTTCATTTCCCTTGCTAGCCAGTTTATAGATATTCAACTCTACTTCTTTGGTATCTAATATACATGTCGTCAAAAGTCGCTAGCTTCGCTTCTCTAATAGCGTTCTTTGCTTCCGTCTTTGCCATCTTATAGTTGTCACAATTTTCATCAGTTCTATCCTTGTATAAGGCTTTATTAAACATATTGAAGTGATATTTGGTCTTATGGGTAGGCCTAGCAATTCCTGATACAACCTGATAACCCGACACAACATGAAACGAAATTAACTGGTGTTCAGGTTGACACGATAACGAATCAGGTTGTTATCGGGTAACCCGATAAGCACTTGTAAGATAACGGATTGGTTCGGGTATACACGTGGGTAATATGATACACGATAAGCAAAATATTAATTTTATAATTTTATAACCCTAAAAAAATACTATAATAATTATCTCTACTAATTAATAAAACACTAGTTGTCAACCAAAACTATATGAAATTACCAGTTTAACCCTCTAATTAAAACAGAACATGAATAAGAAATATGAGGTAGAAATGTAATTTCACACAACAAATTTTGCTAATTTTTTTCAAAGCCTCACCTACATGTGATCCTAACATATCTCTAATTTTTTAGTGAGACATACGACTTATTCTTTTCGCGTATTTGTGTAGTACTCGATGATACGAACGCATAGACGCCTGAGGAAGTGAATTTGGAGCTATGGGTGAGGTTTTATAGAGTCACAAATCTGAAAAGTATGTTTCTAAGGCATTTCTATTTATTATTATTATCATTATCATCATCATTATTATTATTATTATTATTATTATTATTATTATTATTATTATTATTATTATTATTATTATTATTTTATTTGAGAGTAATGAAGGAATGAAAGAAAGAGAAGAAGAAACAGGGGAAGATGGGAGAAAGAAGAAAGGGTATTGGTTGCCCAATCAGAGAAGAGAGGGATAGACCAATTAGGAGGAGAGAGTGATAGGAGTGACCAATCAAAAACAGAAGAAAGGTGGGGAAATGAGAGAAGAAGAAGGGGGTGACATGGGCCCGTTCAAGCCTTCGGACTCGACTAGTTCCGCCTACTTCCTGATGGTTCACCGTCATTTTTCCGGCGATTCAAACATTCCCACTACCTGCAACCTACTTCATAACCTTCCCTCTTCCATTTCCACCCACAATTAGGATGAATTTGGTGGTAAATTGTTCAAAAAAACAAAAAAAAA